TACGGTCAATACAGCAGTTCAGTTTATCTTGCTTCTTTAGGTCACACAACACCAAGCAATCCTGCCATTCACTCTTGGAGTTTGTATCAGCATCAAGAGTATACTAGAAAGCAGTTCTACCTGAGCCAGCTTTACTCAAAGCAGGGAGTAAACCCCTATAGTTTGCAACCATTTGGAAATAGTTTAGCAACTCCAGTGCCCACAGGATGGGGCAGCCTGGAAATGCAGCAGCTACAACAGCAGCAGCTAATGCAGCAGCCACTACCACAGCTACCACAGCTGCAGCTAATGCAGCAGCAGCAGCAGCAGCTACCACAGATACCACAGATACCACAGATACCACAGCGGCAGCAGCAGCAGCTACCACAGATACCACAGATACCACAGCCGCCGCAGCTGATGCAGCAGCAGCTACCACAGCCACCACAGCGGCAGCTAATGCAGCAGCAGACACCACAGCGGCAGCAGCAGCAGCAGCAGCAGCTACCACAGATACCACAGCCGCCGCAGCTGATGCAGCAGCAGCAGCAGCTACCACAGATACCACAGCCGCCACAGCGGCAGCTAGTGCAGCAGCAGCAGCAGCAGCAGCTACCACAGATACCACAGCTTCAGCAGATTTCACAGCAGCTAGAACAGATACAGAAACAGGTGCAACTGCTTCAATCCCAGCCGCAGATACCAAAGCAGTAGCTACAACAGCATCAGCAGCTGTACCCCTCATGGACATGGACCTGGGAAAGTAGCCAGTGATGTAGTCAGCTAATGCACTGCTCCATCCCCCCCCCCCCTGCCGACAGATTCCAAATGGTAATTGACATGAACAAATTCAGCACAGACAATGCAGAACAACAAAACACAACATAACCAACAGGAAATTATCTCCCAAGCATATGCAAATAGAATGTTTTCTCTAACAGGGTGTTATCACTCAGTCTCCCTCCTGTCAATGCCTTGTTTTTAATCTACTGTGAACCTACCGATGCAACAGACCAGTTAAATGTTTTTCTGTATTTGTATTTCGTGAAGAAAATGTAGTTCTGCTTTGTTACTACACTCAGGAAGCTGACTTCAGTAACTTAAAACTGTTGAAAAATACTTTTTACTTGACATTAATTTGTTTTTCAGTAGGAGAAGCAACAAGTTCTGGATACTGTTTATATGAATAAAATTGTTGTTGGCATTATATATGAAAGATAAGTTTTGAAAAATGACCTATTTAGCCACTTTGGCTTATTTCAGTTTTTAGTGTCAGTATTTTTCTGTAAATATTGTACGTTTTATATTCACGTTGTGTTCATTTTAATAAAATTAAAAGTTAATTTGAGATCCTCTGAATGTGAAGCTTATTTGTAGAATTTTCACAAACTGTATTTTTTGGATATTATTTCTTTAGCATGAGTTGTTTTTTGTACAGAGAAATGACTGTATAACTAGTGCATTAACCTGATAGGTAATTTACAGTAAATGTAAGAAGTCTACACACCCCTCTTAAAATGTTAGAAGCATAGCAAAAAGAAAAAAAGACATTTATCTTGGTTTCAGGTCCTTTATGTCACAAAAACTGAAACCAAGATAAATCATGTCACTTTTTTGTGCTATTGTTAAATTGCAGCCTATAAATCAATGTGAAATACAATAAGGATCATTTAGACAAACAAAGAAGAAGAAGTTATGTGTGTAAGTGTCCATACCCCTAAACTAATGCTAATACACCTTTAGATTTTTATCATGGCACTCAATCTTTTTTGGTCGATCAGTGTGGCACATCCTAACTTAGCAGTATTTTTACACTCTTCCTTGCAAAAGTGTTCCGTCTTTAAATTGTCGGATTGGCTGAACATCTCTTGTGCACATCCAAACTTAAGACATCTCACAAGTTTTCAATTAAATTTACATCTGGAGTCTTGTTGGACCTTGATTTTGTTTTGGTGAAGCGATTTGTTTCTGTTGATTTGGAGGTGTGCTTTCAGGTTGTTGCCATGCTGAAAGGTGAGATTCCTCCTCATCTAAAGTTTTTTATTTGAAGCCAAGAGGATTTGTGCAAAATCTGACTGCCATTTGGAGCTACTCATTATTCCCTCTGCCCTCATTTAAGACCTAGTACCAACAGAAAAAAGCAGTGCTAGAGCATGATGCTGCCGCCTACATGTTTAATCATGTAGATGGTGGATTGATTTATTCTTTTTTTTTCTTTCTTTTTTGTGCCATGCGCATCTTGCGCCATGCGAGGCAACGGTGCTAACCACTGAGCCACCTTGCAGCTCTGCATAAGCAAATCACACCCATACAATTGTAAGAACTCATTTCTGCAGTAGAAGACATTGTTTATTGGCCGACGAAAATCCCAAACCTAACCTCATGGCTCAAAATTGACCCCTACATGACCCAGACATGATCCAGGGAAAAATATTAGGTACATAAAGTTAGTCTTCTTTGGATAATCAAGATGTAATCAAGGACAATGGAATTATTTCCATCAAAACTGTATTAAGAGCCACAGACGCTGCTTGGCGACTGATTGGGTCCACTTGGTCCAATAAAACTCACAAAGGACACTCTTCTGTTCACGAGTATTTGTTCAACATTGAAAATTCATCTTGCTAATCTTCTGATGGCAAGAAGCTTCGTTTATTTCCCCCCAGGGTTCATCTGTCGTAGAAATCTTTGTGAGAAATAATCAGAATGAAACAGTATGTGTTTAGCGGTCAGTGCAGGGTGATACAATTTATAGCAGTTCTGCATGCACACTGCACAGTCAGTACCTGCTGACCTTCGGGAGTTTCTCTTTCTGTCACAGTCTCTGCTCTCTTTGAAGATAACAGGTGTGAGAAGTTCCCTCAATCAAAATCAATCATAAGGTCATGTCTGGACCAGGTAGAGGTTCAGTGGCTGCTGGCATCAGATTTTTACCTTGCAGGCCTCGTGTTAATAGGATTTCCTTATATGTACTGGTCTTCCTTTGTCAGTAAAATGAACTTCCATAAATTCAGCAAGGCATTCATGTAATAAAGAAAAAGAGTAATAAGGACACATTAGTGCATGAAAGTCAAGAAGACACGTAACACAAAGGCTAAGGCTTTTTTTCTGTGTGAAGATGGCAGATTATCACACAGAGTGCTGTGAGGTCTGCAGAGTGTGACAAAAACAGGATGAAACAAGCTTCCCTTTATAGCACGGAGTGCAGGAGTCCTAGTCATCACTTCCTTTTTCAGAGATTTACAAGAATGAGTCAAGATGGTGCAAGTCAGCTCTGTGGTCTGGACAGAAATCAAGAAGGTTACGGGGAGGTCATGTGTAAACAGCAGGTTCAAAAAGGTAACAAGCTGCACTCAATTTGTTTCATTAAAGGGCTTCATTCTTCTGTTAGATGGACAGATTTGAATGCTTGCAAGCATCAACTTATAACCCCCAAAATATTACTGTAGACTTGTAGGAGTGCATTAATGTCACATTTCGTATCATCCCAAATTCTGAGCCTGAAACTGACACCAGCTGGTCTAAACTGCTGCTTTGTTTCGTCTCCACCAGTGACTGTGGAGGAGACGAGGTCACGCATTGCAACCATTGTAAGATAAGCCAAGGCGAGATAAGCAAGAACTAAGCCTGCTCTCACACTTCCTCACAATGCAGGTGTTTGATGTTAATTTTCTATTATCACAGAGGAAACTTTTGCCACAGCAGCAACCTTACAAATGCTCAGGCAGGATGCGTAAAGAGAAACCCCATTGTAAGGTCTTACCTCATCGTCTGTTTATATGTTCATCATGCATTCATAATCAGTTAAATCATTTTATTCATTGTCCCAGAAACATGCATTTTTTGTTACAGCTGACCACTGTTTCCAGCTTAGCACATGTGTATGTGTTACGTCGAGTCAGAAATTTAGTTTGTCTCCTTAGAGTTTACGATATAATCGAGAAGAATTCAAATTGAGCCAATGGAAAAAGAATTTTGTATTTACTGTCATACTACATTTAAGTTTTACTCGTATAGTCTTCTTTGATATAGATGCTGGACAAATGGTGACTTTGAGATTAAAAGATGAGCTCTGAGAAACAAACATAAGAAAGATGTTTCTCTGTAACGAAAATACAGCAATGATTCAAGTGGTATATAGTAAAAAAAACAACTCTGGAGTACAGAACACAGCTTTAAGTGCTACATGAAATATCCCTGAGTGTTAAAAGCAACGTAACCCTGAGAAAGTCAAAGATGGAGACCAGTTATTCTGTAGTCACAATATGTGTCCTTGATGCAAGACAATCCCGACTGTGCTATCTCTCTGTCACTGTGTTTCTGATTACAGCTGTAAAAACAAGATATAACACAGGACGGATGAAGCAAAATCACTGAAGTCAGAGCTCCTGAATTTTCATTTGTTCATTTTATCATCTGTTGTAACAGAATACAACTGCAAGAAATGTTACAAGCTTTCTGCGTGGAGTTTGCATGCTCTCCCCATGCAGCGTGGGTTCTCTCCTGGTTCTCCGGCTTCCTCCCCAGTCCAAAAACATGTTGAGTGACAGACTGGTGACCTGTCCAGAGTGTCCCCTTCCTTCGCCCTGAGTCAGCTGGGATAGGCTCCAGGCCTCCTGCAACCCCAGTGAGGATTAACAGGCGTATAGATGATGGACGGATGGATGGTTCCTTACTTTCGCCCCCTTCAGGAAGAACACCTGTCTGCAGCTGACAGCTCCGGTTGTGATGTGGACTCAAGGAATGGCAGAAGCAATTGGCTTTATATACTAACAGATTTTATTTTACACCTTCAAGTTTATAACAACCACAAAACAAAACAAAAATCAAAAAACAAACAGGACCTTTAACATGGCTATAACATGTCCCCACAAGATGAGTAATTCACGCACGCGCCCACACACACACACACACATACATACATATACACACACCGGTCCTCAGTAGGGCTGTTATCTGATTGGTCAGAGCAGAAATGACCTCGGAGCGTCGGTCACTCCTCCCGAACACACACCGACCGGAGGAGGCAGGCGTGGCGCAGCCAAACCTTACGCAGGCTGCCGGCGCATCAGTGTTAACTTCACAGACTTCAGGACGTCTCTACTCAGCAACAAGGTGGCTGACAACAACTTTGTAACGGTAACGCACTTCTTTAGCTAACACTAGTTAGCCGGACTCGTTTGGACTGTCGGTTGTGGCTATTTGGCGAAAAGTTTGTGAATTGATAAATGTCGGTATTACGCGACATGTGTGGTGAAGAACCCTGAATGGGATAGCTAGCGTTACAAATGAGGTTAGTCAGTAACTTTTTAAAGCATTGACCAGTTTTTAGTTACGTAGCTTGAATTAACGGCAGCCAACGTCTGTAAAAGTTAGCGTAACTAGTTAGCTTCCGCACTGAAGAAGTGGATTGGTTCAGCTCGACTGGTGGGTAAAGTTGTCTAAAGTTGTTGAACATCACACACACACACACACACACACACTTTTTACTCTGTGCTGAGTGCAACTCTTCTGATAAATGAGGTTAATTAAGTTTTCTGTCACCTGGGGAGTTTTAACGAGCTCCACAGCCGCTAACTTTAGCAGGAAAGCAGCAGATCGATACTTAACTAGAACTAATGCAGCTGTGATTAATGTCGGACGCTCTCTGTCCACATTCCTCCACAGGTTTAATTCTTCTACACGGAATCAGCACAAAGTCACAAAAAATTAATTCCGCAAATGAGCGCTTCAGATAAAGTGGTGCCTGTAAAACCACCAACATTTAACATGATAAGCACATAGTTGGAATTCTTGTCTTGTCTCTGATCCTCATCTTGGACCAGGTTGATGGTGTTGCAGCGCCATCTGCTGGTTAATCAGAGCCACAGTTTGTCCCCGAATACAAGAAGATAATGTATTCCTACCCTTCCATTAAAGAAAAGGCAAAATTCACAATAGTCACTCAAATAACTAGAAACTGAAAAAAGTAATGATAAATAAAAATTTGCTAAATTATAGTTTAGTGAAATAAGACATTGCTTTTGAATTTTGGTCGAAAAGTATCATTTAAAAAAAATAAATAAATAAATAAAACCGTCCAGGACAAATTAGAGCACTTTGCTGATGAGCAGTGGACCAAAATCAAAATAGCTGTCAGCAGGTGCAGAAGTCTGATTGAGAGTTATAGAAAACACTTGATTGCAGTGATTGGCTCAAAGGGTTGTTCAGCAAAGTATTAGTTTATGCATAAATATATTTCTGTTGAACCACAATTCAAAAGCAATGTCAAATCCAACTGACTGAATAATTATTATTGTTGTATATAATATATGTTATATTGATTTAAAAAAAAAAAAAAAGGTGAGCTTTTACAGGATTGAATTTCCCTTCTGGGATGAATAAAGTATTTTTCATTCATTCATTTCATTTCATGTTTTCATTGAATTTTTATTCATTATTACGTAAAACATTTCGCCTTTTCTTCCTTTCTTTACTAATTTCATTCCCCTCATTCATTTCATTGTGTCCATAAGTCCTGCTGTAGATGCTAACCTTTTTAAAACTTTTTTTTTTTTGTGCTTTACTCAACAGAATTTCCCACCACGAGATATCTTGGCCTGGAGCACACTCGTTCTCTCTTCAGGAATACTCATCCAACTTCTGTGTGCAGGTGGTGTTTTCTACAACAGCAGCATGCAGCCAGGTGGGGCACAAAAAGGCAAATTTTATGCTCATTGAACTACTATGCTTAACTCTTTCATGAATGTTTTCTGCATCGTATGTGTGTGTTTCATGTATCCTCTGCTTGTAGGAGTTTCAAACAAAAGCCAGCTGTTAGATTCTCTGACAGATTATCTGAACAACAAGGACAGACTACAACCCATCATTGGTCTGTAGAAAAGAAATCCCTACTGTTTCTGTATGTGGACTGTGTTCTGTGCGTATTGGAATAATTTGTTATTTTATGTGAATTTAGGATTGGGTAGCATAATAGAATGTGTAAAAGCGGGTGCACAGACCAGAGAGCCATTTTACTTGTGTGAGGTGTGCATCCGTCAGCTTAACAAAGCTGACATGCGGAACCACATATTAGGAAGTCTCCACAGATTCAACTACATTGTAAGTAGTGCTAGAGTCACGACGGCAAATTTTGTGTGCTGCCTTTGATTGTAAGTTAACAGGTGCTGTTTTGTTTGACAGAAAGCCTGGCACCCACACTTACTGTCTGAATGGCAGGAGAGCTCTGACCTGTCGAAGCTGGCCTGGCCACTGATGGAGAAGGCCAAACTGCTCGAGAGGAAAGAGGGACCAGGAGATGTCCAGGTATGTTAGTTTGATTGCGTATGTCGCCGTTTGTAATTTCCAAACAGTTTGAGTGTTTCAGTTTGAGTGCTCTTATCTCTTTGCACCCTCATGAAGTTATTAGAGGTTGAAGATGCTGTATACCAGAGGATGGCAACACACAGTGAAAATGACGGTCAGTGAACATTCACTTGTTCAGAAGAAAGGGTGTCTCAACCATAGATATGTATAATAAAGGCTAGATGTCTCGTCCGCGCTGCCGGCCAATGGAATCACACGGCCACACTGGCGGCCATCTTGATACAGTCCGCTCACTCACCCATAACGCTGTGTTGTAGTGGTGCATGTACTTTATAAATAACCATGACTTGCTCAGTTTTCTACTGATTTTCAAACGGTTTGGTTTGTTATAAATGTCAGGGGTGTAGTTACAACACTGTACTTATGGATAATTATGTTACACGCTCACGGCCAGCAACAATTAGTATTTATTTGTATTTTTGTAATTTGAATTGTAGCCACGTTAATAACGTTTGTAAGAAACCAAACCATTTCTAAATCCGTCAAGATTTCAGCGAAATAAGAGTATTTACGTTTGTGCAGCTCACTCACCTTCCTTCACGTACCACAGGTTCCACCAGAGAGCTTCCCCGTATCAAGATGGATGAAGGGTGATCCCGTTTGAAACGCTGCCTTAAGACATCTAGCCTTTATTGTACATATCTATGGTCTCAACCTCTGTCATGTCCAACCCTTCTTTCCTGCTCACGAGCTTCTAGTTTTTGTCACTTTTCTTGTTTTTGACATTATTTCCATGTACTTTTTTTGTTTGTTTGTTTTTACTCCATACGGGTCTCTTTCTCTCTTCAACACCACAGCAGTAGCTCTGATAAATTCCTTAAGGAATGGACAGGGTAAGCCTGAGACTACATCTTTGCACTATCCCGTCCAGTCGCAGAGGATAGTGTTGCTTGCACAGACCAAACAGAGAACATCCGACAAACCCCTCAAGGCTGACGTGAAATCACACAAGACCACACAGTCGGCACACAGCTCTCTGCCCGTTAGCCAAGAAAACCCCTCTGCCAAGTCCGATGTCTGGGTGAAAGACGCCTCAACGTCACAGTTTGACAATACTCAGACATCGCCTGAGCCCTCGATGGTATTGGAGAAAAGCAGCAACTTTCTTGATGACTTCCCCAGAACTAAGCCGCTTATAGGTGAGCACAGATTTAAAAAAAAATAGCACCAGTTGTTGCTGGAGTTGAGAAAACGTATTTAAACAATATAAGATAGTAGTTTAGTGCTATTATACTAATGAAAAAGATTTGTTTTGCACTGTTACAGTAAGAAGTGTTGGAAACAGAAGCTTTTATGTTTGAATGCTACTTCATGGACTGTGGTTGTAGATCAGCGCCACTGTTCCAGACCTCACCTAAACCCTCTGTGGCTACTGTTACTTTTACATCTGTATGAGTTAATCAAACAAGATATAATTGAGCTATAATTAATTTTATCTAGATATTAACTTTAGCGATACTAGTGAATGGATTTTTTTTAACCTTCAGACAAAGTTAGTTCTATTTCCACCAGTGTTTGTGCTAAGCTAGTTGGACGCTGCCTTTAGCTCTATATTTACTTCAGTTCCTTGAGCTTAGTCTTATTGTTTTGAAAAATGCTATTTATACCCATTTGCAACAGGCCTTTCCTGTGTGGTCGAGTATAGAAGTGAGGATGGCGGCTCGTACTGTTTCTTATGCCACTGCTGCCGCATCAAATCAGACAAAAAGGACGTCATCGATCACCTAAGCAGCTCCTCCCATCTCGTCAACTACTTGGTCAGTCAGTTGTGGATCATTTATCAAATACGGACACAATTAGTGTTACCATCGTGCATCTGTATGTAAAGAACATGCTTTGGGTACGTTTATTGAAAATGTCTTTGCATAGATGGAAACTCATCCAGAGCAGGTGGAGGGAATGACTGCAGATATCAAAGACAACCATCAGCTTGTCCATTCACTGGCCGAGAAAGTGGAGCAAAAAGAGGGCAGAGGAGAGATGAAGGTATCACACATCCTTCTAAGCACAGATTATTCTGCCGAGGTTATGCTGTTTGTAAAATGACCCTCATGTCCTTTACAAAAAAAAAAATCCTTGATTTCACTTGTCCTTGTCTGTCGCGATGTTTTCAAACATCTCATGTTCCCAGGTAGTAAATGCACCAGAATCCTTCTGTATGCAACTCACTGGCAAAAGTTACCACTGGTGTAAGTACAGATGATTATCTTTCTGTTTGGCCGTAAGTCATTCACCTCTTTTCCTCCGACTCTGCTCTTGATGTGTGACTTGTGTGTAAGTATACCGCTTCACTTTATTCATTGAAGGACTCATGTTTTGAAAGTGTGGGTGTAAAACTTGTGCTGCGCATAAAAGTGAAACTCCAAAAGGTCTCAACTTTGAAAAACACACTCCTTTAAAAAGAAGTGCAGTCACCACCATGTTTCCAAGGTAATGCAAGAGTTTTGATTGCAGGTTTGTTGAGGCTGTGCTGGTTGATACAAGTATTTATACTTCAAGACTTAGAAAGGCAATGAATCGTATATTTTGTAAGCAAAAGTGTAGGTACGACCAAGCACATTACACAGCTTGTCAAGTTTAGATGAAAAGTAAATACAACCCATGGAGCGAACATGTATTTTAGAGGGTAACAACATACATTTTTGTGTGTGTGTTTACACCAATTTTAAATATTTATTTGTATACAAAATGGTAGTGGGAAAATGGGAAATAAATGTCAAAGCTCTGCTGGAGTCGCTCTCTTGCCAGCAGATGAAAATAAAGTATGACGGCAGCGTCTTGTGAATGTCATTTACACTCCTGATCGCCCACCATGTAGCTACGATGACACCCCTCCTAGAGTTTAGCACTCCTCTGATGCATTCCTGTAAATATGCTGGGAAGGAAGCCTCTTGGAGAATCGAAGGTGTTGTTAATCTTTGAAAAGAAAATGAGCCTTTCTTCCTCTTTTATGACCTTTCTAGTTTAGGAACTTTTTTATTAAATAGTATTTTCAGATGTCTCGGTACATCATTAACTCATTAAACCTAATTGGATTTAAGGCAGGCCCGTTGCTGATTTCTGCAAAGGTTGTGTTTAATTTGTTTTACATGCATAGTCAACTAAAAATGTAATGTTGGTTAACCGTCTCATTAAGCTATATATCGCACTAATTGCTTTTGTTCATTTTCTTTTCTATTCATGCAAAGTGTCTCTCTTTGAACACTGCTTTTCATTGTAGTGTTTTCTTTGTATGCCTCCTGTACCGTTTGTTATTTTGCAGGTGTAAAGGCTCTGACTAGTGGCTGGACGCATACTAACATCAGAAAAAAGACAATAGGTGTCACAGGTGTGTCTTTGGAAGCTAAAAAGAAGTTGACTTTCTCTTTCAGTAGTGAAATGTGTCGGTAGTTTAACCTGTCTGTATCTTGTTTACACGTTTCGTTTAAGGGTCGAGTGTGAATGAGACGTCAGCTCGAGCTGTGCCACAGAAATGCCATGCAGCGCAGCCAAAATGTGCAAAAAGACGGACAACAAAGAGGAAGATGAAAAAGATGAGGAAGATGCCCGATACTGTGTTCAATGTAAGCCTGCCTCTTTCCAAAGGTTCAGTTCTGCTGAAGAGGTCGTGTTTCAGCATGGACAGCCTCCCTGTGTGTTGTGCATCACCTTCACCTGACGAGGACCTCGTTCTCTGGCCAGAGTCTCAGACAACGGGCTGTGAGCTGGACTGTGACACTGGATCATTTGAGGTTAACAATGCAGGTTGCCACACAATGTGCAAAAGCTCCCACCTACAGCAAGACCACTACAGTGGAGATGCAAATGCTGGTCAATACGTACCGGAAAGACGCTTCTCCGGCACTCTGTTTCAAGATGCGGGAGGATATGTCACTGATGGTGTGTACGCCTTCCAGTCGGAGGACGTAACTGGGACGAAAGACAATGAGATGTATGGGGAAAGGAAATACAGCAGACAGCATGGTTCTCAATATATTTCACGTCAGACGTTCTTTAAAAAGTCGAGAAATGAATACCGATGGACAGAAAACGAAGAACTGTTGCCTACTGTGTCCCACACTATGACCTGGCCACCTTATCGCTCTTCCTACCAGCATGAGGAGAGAGGTACTGAGCAGTGGCACAATCCAGCTTCACAGAGTAAAGCTGGAACAAGAGTGGAAGGCTCACGAGAAGAGAGCCACAATGACATGAGCTTTAATGCTCTTCAACATTATTACCAGCAGCACCAGTACATGGCAGTAGACACGAGTCATCAGTACAACACAGCCGCTCCGACAGGCAGCGTGGGGCATCACAATGTGTCAGGTGAACTGGTCGCTTATCCAAATGCTGCCAAGACAAACATGCAAACTCCTGTAGGAGATTCTCTGGCATACAGTGGCAGCATTCCATCAGCGTCTGGAGGACAGTTTCCTGAGAGTAAACTGAGACCATCACAGACATACATGGGGTTCACCACTGAGCATGTCCAGGCAGCTGCACAGAGTTATGGGTCGCAGTCTACTGCCTATCCAGCCTATCAAAGCATCCAAGTGCACCAGGGGTTGATGTCTAACCCCAACCACAATACTGGACCTTGGACAAACCCTGACCAGCACTTTGTTTATCCTGCCAGCAACAATGGTGGTGGTGGTGGGGTCCAATGCTATCATCCAACCTGGCCAAGCTCTGTGTCATGGGGCTCTCTCAGATCTTAATTGCAGAGCTTTGTGTAGATGGAAAAGCTCCATTTATGAATGCATATTCCAATTTTCATTTTTGGAATATATTGCCATACTTCATTGAGACTTAATTTCTGCTCAAAGAATTGATATTCCCATGGAATTTAGTCACACTTAGGTGTTCAGGTGTGGGATGCAATTGCACTGGAGCATGTTTTACACGTGGCTATGTATTTAGTTTCTATCACAAATGGGAGTCTGCTAGTGGAGGGCTGTTTTTGCATCGTCTGAGATCAGTATTCAGCTTCCTCCTCTTTGAGTTTCAGCAGTGTTTTATAACATTCCACATCCTTTATGTGTAACTGACAGCGACTTTGCAAAATAAGTCGGCTATAATCTAAAAACGATTAGATTTTGGTCCAGTAAATGAACATGAACAGTGAAACATCTCCTTAGATGTGCTTGAAAATGTAGAGTCAGAAGGGACTGTTCAGCAGTTGCATGATGTGGTTGCATAAGAACAAATCCTTCACTGATTTTGAATTTAAAATGTCTCCATAGGTTAAATTTATAGTAGGGAGTTAGTAAACTGGAATGGAGAATTTGGGAATTTAAGGGCAAAAGTGGAATTTATTCACGTTTCTTCCATTTTTAAGTAAGTGTAAGAAATATTGTTATTATTGAGCTCATTTGTGTTTACCATCAGACAGTATATATTACAGCTACAATTGTAATATATTGCACTGCACGCTGTCTGTTCTTTTGTTTGGTGTTATATAAATTGTATTAGTTTGATGCCATATGCTGTGGATTACCCCTGGAGGTTCCTTCAAATCAGTTAACTGGCTTTTTCTTTAAGTGTATGTTGTTGCTGTAAAAAAAAAAAAAAAAACTGACCTTATGTCATTCCAGACTGCTCATGCTTGAATTATAGTGTTTACAGAACTGATTTAATATACCATGAACTCAAATAATATGAGCTTGTTTCTTCTTTATTTGGAATTCAAATGTCATTAAATACAGATAGTTGATGTTTTTTTTTTTTGTTTGTTGTTTTTTTTCCCATTTTGAGGAGTGGGCCTTTATTTAAATGTAAATTCCCACTGTTGTGGTTCACAATAAATTAGTTTATGTTGGTCTTTTCATTTTATTCATTTAGGAGTTGTGGTCTCCTTCCTTACTGTCCACAACAGGAATGTCTTATTGCAATCGCTAGCAGAAGGTCAGGGAAGTTTGAATCAGGATATTTGTTCAAAGTGGATGAAGGGTTTGACACTGTAGCTTGTTTCTCCTCCATCCCTTGGTTCTTGATGTATGGAAGTCAAATTTCTTGTGGTGATGTCAAAACCTTTTAAATTAGAAATAGGCAAGTGTCTAGTGTTATCTCACAGACATGTCCAGTCATATAGCTACGAGGCATTAGATGTATTCAGTGTTGTGAATCCTAAACCATCTGAATCTGCAAGTGATTATCTGACTCGTTATATACAAGTTATTGGCATATTTTATTAACCGTTACATAGCTACACTTTCTAAAATGAGGGTTTACAAAGTGCTTTGACAGACAAAGCTAAAGCAAAATATAATGCAACAACAAATAAGGATAGTCAATAGACTCACAAATGAAAAACGTAACGTGAAATTAATACATGCAAACAAAATCAATAAATTAATGAATAAAAACCAATTTCAAAACTTTAATGAATAAAATTCACAATAAGCAATAAAGACATGAAATCACAGAAAAGCAAGTCTAGAAACATCTGGTTTAAGAAGGGATTTTCAAAGAAGTCACTGAATCTGGGAGCTTTTTCTCCTCAGGCAGGTTGGTACGAAGCTGAAGATCCTTTAAATCTGAAGCCTCCACTGGAAGAGTTGCAAGAGCCCCATTTAAAGATCTAAGACTGCCAACTGGCTCATATGGTGTCAACGATTCTGCTATAAAGCAAGGGGCCAGACCCTGACATGCTTTTAAGTAGTCAAATATTTAAATCAAATCATGAATGACTTGTTTCAGATCAGACTAACAGACAATCTGATGTAGTTAATGCGGACATGTTTGTAGCTGTTATGCACTTGTATGGTCTAATAATTTGCCACGCAAAGAAACAAGGAACATACAGTTAAAACCAGAAGTTTACATACACTGTACAAAAAGACATAGAACCTTTTTTCCTCACTGTCTGACATTAAATCAGACTAAACTTTTCCTGTTTTAGTTCAGCTAGGATTACCAAAATTATTTCTATTTGCTAAACGGCAGAATAATGAGTTGTTTTTTTGTTGTTGTTTTTTTTACCACTTTCTTAAAAATCACAAGTTTACATACAAAGATTACAATGCCTTCAAACAATTTGGGAACAGTCCATCAACAGCTTCATTCATTCATTCCACAAGCTGTCAGAATGCTAAACTGCTGATCCTGATACACTTCTTTATTTAAATTGCTTTAAGTTATTGGATCCTGAAGAGACGCTCTCTCATCTCTCAGTTTAGACGGTAGGGCCATAACGTTGCTATGGAGTTGAATAAATAATCGATACTGGCATTTTATTTGTTTTATTGTTGATTTTTAAAATATATATATATATATATATATATATATATATATATATATATATATATATATCGATCTCGTGCTGTCACATTTTCTCTCTTGCTCTGTTTTTTTTTTTTTTTAAATAACCATACATGTGTTTGCATCCCCTGATATATCTGATAAACATTTTTGTCGTCAGACATGAGGGTGAATCACAAATTTGTACACTCAGTGACTGGTACTGAACAATGCAGTGCAACAACCTCACAGTAAACACGCACACATTGACAAATCTGTTTGTTCCGTTTTGCATAAACTACCAAAGTTCCTTAATTGGGTTCAAATAAATCATTGGAGAAACTGGAAAATTTGTGAGAACAACTTGTGAAATGTTCACTATATCACAGCAAATGCTTCGTCATTGATATTATAGCTAAAAGGCATGTTTTCGGTTGTAACCATAATTTCCAGCCGACTTGAACGCAACACAGCTACGGAAGCACCTCTTGTAAGCGACTGAGGTTTGCCTGAAGCGAAGGCAGCAAGGCAGCCCCTGAACACACCGAGAGGACGGCGTAGCTAGTTAGCACAAACAAACGGGCTTTTAATACGGCAAAGGCAGCGTTTGGCATTTAATTTGAATGGCTAAAATTCCCGTGGTGACCGGCTAACTTGCTGCAAGACAACACATCTGGGAGAAACCGCAAAAGCTGCCTCTCCCAGCGCCTCGACTCTCTCCCCTAAAAAAACCTCGTCGAGATGTCAGCTTTCTCTGAGGTGGCTTTAGAGAAGAAACTGTCCGAGCTTAGCAACTCCCAGCAAAGTGTGCAGACGCTGTCGCTGTGGCTCATCCACCACAGAAAACACTCCAAGACCATTGTCAATGTTTGGCTCAACGAACTGAAAAAAGGTAAGGTTTGAGTTGAGCTAGCTCGTAATAAAGACCTCTAACACGCTCCTAACTGGTTGTGTAGCATTCGGCTACAGGAGCTGGCTAGCTACGGCTAAATCTGTGCTGTAGGCATAAAACAGTTCTAGCTAACTTGCGATAAAGTTGTCAAGACAATGGGCCGTTGTTAGCATGCTGACTGCTAACATTAGCCAACTTTGGAGCAACAACGTCAGCAGTATTAAAGGTCTGGACTCACAAGCATCGTTTAAGAGTAGAGATAAGTTACCTATCTAACACCTGGGTTGTTTTGTGTTGGCTAGCAATACTAAGAGTAGCCAAGATACTCAGTAATCTGATGCTGTGGAAATTTGTACACCACTGTTTGTATGTCAAACACTGGTAATTCATAATGTTTATCACGATGCTTCCATGCTTATCAAGTTAATCCCCTCAGGGCAGATGTAAAATCCTCATTACAGTAAATTACTCAAAGCAGCTCAGATGGAACTTTTTGAATTGGTTTGCTATGTGTAGTGTGATTTGATTTCTATGTATTTTTTAACATCTAATTCAGCACCTCCTCTCAGCTTTACAAGTTCTCCTGCAAACTGTCCAGCACTGATAACAACACAGTGATAGATCATCTTATGCTGTCACTATTATTAACTGCTAGTGCCACATTACTTAAAACACACTTCAGTTGAAATAAAGAATACACATGTATTGCAATAAAAATGTAAAGAGTGCCCTGTGTGCTTTAAAATAAGACGCCATGCAAAGTGTGTTAAGTGGGAAATAATTTCCCTCTAACCTGCCACTGATAGCTTTAAGCAAATGTAGCCATGTTGATTAATAACAGTGGAATGTTGGCTCTAGGTCTAATGGGTAGGTGGAGTCAGAGTTGGTGTATTATATCAAAATTCATTCCAAAAGGTGTGTTGCTGGGATGTTAGGTTTGGCTGTAGTTGTGGCTAATACTGGCAGACTTTTCCTCAGGGTGCGAGTCAACAACCTAATGATATCTCAAGTGGATGTTGTATTCTGGGACATTGTCTGAGGACTAAAAGGAGAGCACACCGTTAATAGCAGTGGGGATAGAGATATCACTCCCCTGGGTTTCATGCTCACCTCAGTGACGACTGTGACCTGTCCAACAACAAACAAAGATGATTTTCTAAGAGGAAACAGGTGCAATTTAGTGAAGAGCTCTGCTTCCATATATATCTACATATATCTATATTCTCCTGATCCAAGTGAGGGAAAAGGCAGCACTCCATCGCTAAAAATAGTCAAAAGAATCAGCTCATCTTTTGATCTGTTTGGTACGTTTCTTTATTAGCAATGAAGAGGCTGATGAATCTGCAGGTTTTGTTGAAAGCCTTCCTCAGAACACACTCACTAAAATATCTAGCCTTTATTTGTCTTGTTTTAGAGAAGGCATACATATATATGTTGTCAGTTGTGTGATTCGAGTGTGCAGTAAAGTGCATTGTGGCTGATAAAGCCCAAATGAAACAGACACACAAAAGAGAGAAGAAAGTCACATTTTCTTTCCCAGATTGAATTCATAAACACGTTAGCTCTCGGGACTTGTAGGGATGTAGCAGTGAAGAGGAATAAATTGTAAAGGGTAGTTGCTGCATCATTCTTGTGTTTGTTGTGATGATTTCTGTGATCTGCTGAAGGAAAAGCGTGACTTTTAACACATGATGGTTTAGTTTTATATGGAAAAACACGACATTCAGTATTTCTGGCTTGCAATCACTTCTCGGATTAATATTGTGTCCGATAATAGGTATTTAAAGTAGATAGAATTATTGGTTTAAAATATTCTATTTACTAGTTAAAACACGCTTGTGCATTGAAACCTGTTACTATATTACTCAGCCTGACATTCATTCTTTTAAATTAATGTCTTGTAATACTTGTATTTGTACTTTTGAATGCACACAGCTCAGGTATCACGCAAGTTGACCTTCCTTTACTTGGCCAATGACGTCATTCAGAACAGCAAGAGAAAAGGACCAGAGTTCACTCAGGACTTTGCGCCGATCATCGTCGATGCTTTCAAACATGTGTACAGGTCAGATTTTACACACAAATACAAGGGTCAGAAAAATGCATTGTGGAGTTACAACATTTAGGACTGTTTAATCAGGCCATTTATTCATAATGCACGACTTTGGTTTGAAATGATTTAAGAAATTGCAGTCAGATTTTGGAAACACTAAACACTAGACAGTGATTTACATTTAGATATACTGAATAGACTTACTCACATACACAAGTATGCAGCATTTGCAATGAAATATGTTCTTTCCACTTTATAGTCCTACATTGTCTTGTCCTGACGTCAGTTTTAGAAAGCTGTTTAAATTGCCTGTTCTTTGTGTTTCTGTCCAGAGAGGGTGAGGAGGGCTGTAAGAAACAGTTGGGTCGGGTTTTGTCCATCTGGCAGGAGAGAGCTGTTTATGAGAACAACCTGCTGGATCAGCTGTCGCAAGTCCTCTGTAAGTTCACCCGACCGACGAACCTGTACAGGCGTGCGAGTAGTGCTCAGCACCCAGCCGCATCTCTGTTTGTGAAACCAATGTGGCTGCTTGCTCTGCCAGTCTGCAGGTTTAAACATCACGAGCTCAGTTTCATACCGGCACTTATTTTAAAACTTGTTTTTTAATAATACGCTTACATGACAGGATTATTTCTGATCATAAATATATATATATATACTTCATAGCTAATCAGCTTTGTGGGAAGATGCATGAAGCTGTAAAGCTGCAGCACAGTTTAATACACAAAATGTCCACCATTTTATTTCAGCTAGAAGAGGGGACTTCTACATGTGATGTTTTTTTGTCTTGCTTTTTTTCTTGTAAATCCTAGATGGAGAGAAGAAGGCTAAGAAGAGGTCATATGAAGAGATCCAACCAGACGATGAAGGCTTTGCCTCCCAGAGCTCCCCAGTTGAACCTCCACAGGTGCTGTCTGTGACAAACAGTGTAGCCATAAATACAGTGTGTTTATGAAATCATACTTTGAACTGCATAGAGTACATTTGATGAGCATTTTTACGCCTGCTTCTGTGTTTGCCTCTCTCTGCCTCTCCAGTGTTGATTATGACACATACTTAAATACCTTCTTGTGCTCTCCCCGCCTCCCTCCCCCTGCTTATCATCCTCCCTGTGCCTCAGACAGCAGAGTTAATTCGAGCTCTGCAGGAGCTGGAGAATGCAGCCTCTGGCGACTCGGTGCTGCGTCAGCGCATCTCCTCCCTTCCTGCTGAGGTGCAGGACACGTCACTGCTTCACAGGATCACAGGTAGGAGGCAGGACGCAAAACGCTCCCGTATGCTCTATGTATACACTCACAAGTACGTTGTGCAGCTCATTAACACATGCACCTACTAGATAATAAAGTCAGCGTCTTCAAGGATCGCAGGGTTAGCTCTGATTGGAGAAAGTGCTAGCAATCTAAAAAAGGCCAGGGTTCACGTCAACGTGGCAGAAAATACCCACTGGGCATAGGTGTCTGCACTCTTACTTGTTTTGCTGACAATTTGAGAGTAAACACCATTATATTAGTGGGAGCAAAAAATATATTCAACATTATTTCCCTTCTTGCACAAGACCATCACTTATTCCTCAAACCTGCAGGTTAAACACACACGTCAAATGCCTCCTTAAACCTTACAGTAATTTATTTTCAAAACAAAAATAGTGCTGGGGCTATTATATTTATATTTGTAGGACAGAATATCAGACATCCTGCAGACACACATTAGAGCTGACTGCTGAGTTTTTACTTATCCATACATAGAAACCTGTATTGTCTCAAGACTGAGACAGCGCATCATTTTAAATCCCCTCTCTGGTCATTGATTAAACCCCTAAGAACTCATCACATTATCAAAATTACAGAATTTTGTCCCCCATTCATCCCATAATGCCTCAGAATGAGTTGGATGTAGCTCTACCCTGCTCCAGTATGGACACATCTATGCATGTGCAAATTAGTTCCCACACCAGCTCACATACGACTCTGTTTATACACTGCGATTCTGAGGAAAAATGATGATCCAGAAAGCACCAACTTGCAAGTTGATTTGTTCCGAATGAAACCCTGCAAGCCAAAATCTGTTTCTGAGACAGTCTTCAATACACTACAGTTTCAAGGCAGAAATACTCAATCATGACATTCACTGCTTATTTCGCTCATGATGTGACTGCCAGCATATAAAAAACCCCACATGGACACGATAACAAAGTTAAACTATATTTTCTTTGGAGGCGGTCTTTAACCACCATGACATACTGTACATTAAAAGGCTTCAAAGCATAGTGTCTTTGCCTTCACCTCAGCAGACAAACACAAACTGAGGTGACCTTGAGCAGGATGTAGAAAGATAACATGCCTCCATCTACCATAGGAAACTGTTTGATTTGCCATTGATTATACAGTAGCTAATGGTATTGTGTCAGTATTAATGGCTAACTGAATGACCCTCTGTTGAACCTGTAACACCGGCTGTGTTTGAGCTTTGTGTCCTTCTCTTTTTATGTTCTCTGTGCTTTAGATAAGGAATCAGGGGAGCGGCTTTCCCGGCTGGTGGAGGAGGCCTGCATGCTGCTAGCAGACTACAGCGGCCGCCTGGCGGCTGAGATTGACGACAGGAGGCAGCTTACGCGCACACTAACGGTCTTCCTGCAAAGCCAGAAGGATGGCTTGGCCCAGAATGAGCAGAAACTTGAAGTGCGTGATTAACTATTTTTTCTTTCAATTATAATTAGTTTAGTTTCTGTGTATGTCTTGTCCGTTTCATCTTTGTTTCATTGTCAGTCGTTCGTACTGTTCATATGTCTGTGTAGCAGAGGGCTCACACTTGTTGTTTGTTCACATTTTGAAGGAATATTCTTTCAGCATGTTGCATGCTTTCTGTTGTCGTTACTGAACCAGACTGCAGGTTTCAGTTTGAGTGTTAGGCCTGCTGGCGTTACAAACTGAGGAAAGACTCCTAATTAGATACAAACTTGACATCCAACTGAGGTTTTCCCTCATCACTGGGAAACGCTTGTTCTTTGAGCCTTGCTCATTTATCTCAGTCCGCTCAGTGTGTACTGCCTATCAGGTAAGTATCGACTCAAACGCTGTGCTTGAGCTTAAAAAATGAAACTACTGATTTTCTCACTCTCTCACAGCCGTCATTTTTTTTTTTTTTGTGGTGACAATAACTGTCCAGCCTTTATCCACAGGATACCAAGAGGACGAAGTATCTCATACTTGTATCTTCACTCAGTCATCAAATTTGTAATAATAAAAAAAATGAAAATAAAAAATGAAATGATTTTGTCAGTGCTTTTATTTTGCTCTAACACTTGCAGCCCCTGATGGTTTCCTTTTAACAATGGTCCAAACTAGAAGCATTAAAAACACACTTTAGATGTACATTGAGCACAGATCAGTAGATGATGTTTGTTTCTAAATGTAATTACGAGGCAAAATAAGAAAAAAAATCTGAAATTTTGGCATACATTGTGGAAGATTAAGAGAACACAAGGATCCTTTTTTTTTTTTTTTGAACTTTAAAAATGGCCTGAGGAAACGTACTCTGTACAGCTCACTCACATGCATCAGCTGTTCATATACAACGCACAAATCCTAACACCAATGTGCAACAAAGCCGAAGCAAAGAATTAAACATTTGACAGACACTTTATTTTCATGTGTCTTTAAAGACCAAAACATTTTGCATATATATTTTTATTTGACTAAATGAATTCCTCCCACGCTGGTTTGTTTTCAGCTGTGTGCTCCCTGACTTCTGTTTGCCTTACATACACTAACTAGGGGGCCCCTCACATACAGTATATAACAACTTTGCTGCTGTTCTGTGTGCTCCTTTAAACTACAGACATACTAAACTTGTAATACTTTCTCCAATGAATCGTGTTGTAAATGTAAGTGAAAGTAAACGTCGAGCAGATTAGCCAGAAACCTGAGGTGACTACAGCGATCGTACATTCAGTGGTTTGAAAGGAACCAAATGTGTCGGAAGCGAAAAACCTTAAAATATTTGTAACACCCTGATGCAACCTGCATGTATACGGAAACTTCGGTTAAAACTAAAACCACTTCCTGCAATGTACAGTAAAAACCGTCCTTTAGTTCTTATGTAGCCCTCATGTCAGTGTCTTAACATGTCAGCTTTACACTAAATGCTTTCCCATAATGTTGCTGTTGGTAACAAAAACACAATCAAAACTCACAGTGTCACTAATTCACCCTTGAAGGATCAGATTCAAGCTCTGATGGACCTTTTCTGTTCTGGACTTTTTCAGGAATACAAACGGAAACTGGCGAGGGTGACCCAGGTCCGGAAAGAGCTGCGATCGCGTCTGAGCAACCTCCCAGAAGGACTCTACAACTCTTCGAACTGACTCAAGCTTTGACCTCTGACCACATACACTCCTGCTACTGAAACTTCTCAGACCATCTCTTCCGTTATTTGATCAGTGACCTCGCCATTGTCTCCTCAGTTCTTCACTTTGGAAAGTGTCTCTGTGTCCCTGTACGGTGACCTGTGGTTCTCATTCTGTCTTCAACAGACTATTTATCCACACGTCTTTTATGAACAGTAAGCTCTCTTAGTTTTAGAGGTATACACTGCAAATTAAGACACAGGCCTCTTGTGCTTTTCCCGTTGCCATCTAACTTTTGCAGCTTTAAATGGGCTGGATGATGCTGGTGTGATATTTTTGTATTTATTGCGACTGAAGATCGTGCACCAGAGTGTGTCCCCTTAGGCTGATCAATCATAATAATTTGCAGTATTTCGGGTTGCTATTGTAACTTTATTTTTTGCTGTTTTCGGTGTCCTGACTTGTCTCACTCTTGATTATACGTCGTTGCAGCACTTGGATCATTGTTTTCATGCAGTGTCATAGTGGCCTGTGGAGAGAATCCTTTGAGATCATTAGGAAACTGTTTTCTGAAGCTGAGTAGAAAGCCATGTTCCTTAAAGCAAAACCAATATATGTAATTATCATTTACATAAAGCCTATCTGTGAAAGATGGTGTGTACATATTTAAGTTTGCATGTAAATACGGCGGAGTTATACCTGCTCCAGCTCACGAGTGCTTATGATTTGTATGTGCGTGGTTGTGAAACTGTTATTACCGAGGTATCTCAGACCTCCTCTGTACTGAAATGACGAGTGAAGGAGTGTGTCGTCTTGTTTACTGTATTTCTTCTTAGTTTTACCCCTAAGTTTCCTGAATGTTGTGCAGATGCTTCACACAGCCTGAGAAGTGCCCCAGTTTCAAAAGCCAGACTTTAAAAAAAAAAAAAAAAAAGCTGTTTGTTTTTGTAAATATGAAGCAAATGCTTCTTAGAACCAAATAAATATAAAATACACAAATCTGTGCAGTCCTCTCTGCAGTCACTGTGTGCCATTGAATTTAGTTGCAATTGAGTGTTTGACCTGCAGAGGGCGTGGACGGTGTTACTCAGCTTATGTGTGTGCTTGTTTTTATCACCCTAACGTCTTTTTTAACTGCGGTGTCACTGCAGTAACAGCTCCGCCCACGTGGCCCTCTGAAGGTTACTGTGCACAAACACACGGGAAGTTTGGCCTTCAGCCGTCGACTGTGCTAGCCATTCGTGGTGTACACAAGTGTAGCCTACGGTCAAATATAAAACACACACACGCTCATTCGTTAGTGTTAGTAAAACGACACCGCGCGAATTACTAGCCAGGAGCTGCTAAGGACGGCTCGGTCGTCAAAGCAGCTTGGTTGAATTTATTTTTAATTTTTTTTGCTGGTTTAACATTTGCTAAGCTAGCAGTGCTAGTCGTTCCACTATGGATAGCCTCGAAACGCCGTACGACGAGGAGACTGAGTTTATTGAATGCACGGTAAGGTGGCTAAGCATGCACCTAATGAAGTCGGTGACTGCTGGGCTCAGTAGAGAAACAAATGCAGCTGGCTCTTTCATAGAGTAAACGAAGCACACCGAGCTGTGCAGCTATAGACAATAAACCTGACATGAGTCCATCGTCATATCTGTGTTTTACAGCACTGTGTAAAAGGCCACTATTGGGTTGTTGTTTTGTTTAGCAAGGGTTTAATGATATTACATTTGCATCAGTTTCTGTATCAGGTTGCAATTGGAAGATATAGGAAATACACTAAATAACACTATGAACATGTGCAGTCTACAAGCTAAGATGGCATGTTTTGGTGTGACCTCTGTTTGCACGTGTGTCTTGAACTCCTTTGTAGTGTGTTACACCAGAGATCATTCAGGACATGTCAAAAGTTTCTCATTGATTGTTTGAGCTACTTATTATTATGGTTGTATGATTCCAAGTTAGAGCTTAGTCCATGTATTGTTGAGCATTACATGCACATATTGTAAGAGTTTAACTCATTGGAAGCTTGGTGACATACAGGGACAAGTCTTCATCACATCATTCCATTCAAAATGCTTAAAGTTACTTAACTTGACGGGAATAAAAATCATAATTTTGCATCAACAAGGCTCACTTAGAGGCAGATCAAAAAACATGTTGCATGCTAATAATTTGGTATTTAAACCAAGAAGCAAGAATTGAGAGGAATCCAGAGGAATGACAGGATAAGTAGTGAAAGCCCAGGAGATGGTGTCTGATGACAAGTTTCTTTCTTGAGAGACCAGAAGATGTCCAGCAAAGAACTTACTAGAACTTGCACCTGGCAGCTTCATCTGGATGCAAAGTTGATCTTCTACAGTCCAAAGAAGTTTAACTGGGAATGGCCTCTGTAGAATCTCATAAAATTGGAGAGGAAATAAATGGAAAAGACAACTATGGAGTTATGAAACCAAGTTTTAAATGTTTGGGTCCAATTCTCAACAATATGTGAGGGAAAAAAAGAGGTGCAAGAAAGAGTACTTGGGTTTACAGGTTGATTTTTGTATTTCATTATTTCACTGCTTCATATTTTGAGGTTAAAAACAACTGTGATGGACTGGTCTCCACAGGGTCCAGATCTAAATATTACAGAATCTGTATGGGCTCATCAGGGCAGAGGGAAAAATAATAGACAACCTGCCCTAAAAAAGAACTCTAGCAGGTGCTGAAGGCAGTTTGATGTAATATACCAAAAGATTACTTGAGTAAACTTTCAAGGCAGTCTGTCCATGAGAGTTCAAGTTATGCCAAGTGCAAATGGGGGCCATAGTAAGTACTAACTTTAACATGTAGAATCCTTTTTTGTTTTAAATTCTGTGTACACATTACCTGTATTTTCTTGTTATATATTAATAAAATGACTGAGAAATAAATATGTACGCCTTGCTAAAACAACAAACCTAATGGTGGTCCAAGACTTTGGCACAGTACAATGGTTTGGGGTGCTGTTTACTAGAATTGTGTTAATATTTTATTTTCTTAATAGAGATGGACTAAGTAAGTCCTGCTTTCGTGTACATTTGTGTATCTGATAAATGATCAACTGAGTGATTTTTGCTTTCTCTTTTAACTAAGGTCTGTGATAAATCCCTGAGGGGTGATACCTTGTACAAGATACACCTGACCACACCAGGACATATAAAGGTACACACAACAAAATACTCCTGCAGAAATTATGCAGTCTGTGAAATCTGTGTGCAACGTTAGTAATGCTAAAACACCCAATACTGTGTTTACTATTGAACAGTGAACGCATCATGTAATGTTCAGTGAGTATTTTACTCTGGCTGGAGTTTTTACTTGTAACTTCTACTTTTTCTTTTCATTTAGTTGCAAGTTTTTACAGGTTCAGGATAAACTTATTGGAGGAAACATGTCATTTCACACTTTTTGCAAGGGGTTGTCAGCATCTTGCGAGTCTTCTTTTTTTTGTTAAAAAGCCCACTGCAGTGTTTCATTTCTGATTCAATACCTATTTGTGTGTCCTGTGGCCCTACTTGCTTCTGCTCTGCCAGCCAAAAACAGCACGTCTTGGTATGTCCAAGACAGAAACTGGTGGTACAGTAAGTGTTTGACGTCTCAACATTAACCATGCCTACAGTGACTGAGTAACTGTAAGGTGGTCCGTCACTTCTTGAGCAACAAAATCAACCAGGGAGAAGGAGTTCTTACCAGCGTTTGTCCTTGACCATTGTAAAGACTACATCTTGATTATTTTGGAGGAGCACTGTGTCTTTGAAGAAGGCAGCTTGTCGTAAGTTCATGCCAAAGGAGAAGGTAACATGTTGACACATTAAGGTCACACTGGCCTATACAACTTGAGCTACAGTTTCCTGTTGTTGTTGTCCCTTGTCGTCTCACGTCATCATTTGTGGACAGCCGTGATGGACGCAGCTTGTTTCCCAGAACAGCGGGTTTTTGTCTTTTTTAAAAAAACAAGCTGTTTCCCAACTCTGCACCGCAAAATTTCTTAAATCCTCTCTAAAGCAATCGTTTGTTTTCTGGAGGTCATCGCCTTTTTCTGAACTTGCATTTGTTTCGGTCCACACTAGTCGGGTCCTGAGACGCAAGGCAACAGCAGCACAGCTTACGGTTGTACTTTGTTCTTACACCAGGCTGCTGGAATGGTTGTGGAGGGTTTTGTGTGTGTGACAACCTGAAGTCCTGTTACTTTGACAAGAACACTGGAATAATTGGAGCTAAGCAGCTTGGTGGAGTCACGTCATCTGGCTAAATGATGTTTGTGATCCCATGGAATAATACTTTTAGAAAGATTCCTATTAGCTGCTCTTTTATGGGTCCGTTTCATATAGGGAATGTTCTTGAACCAGTCTCATGTGCTTCCAGAAACTTGCTTGCTCCAGGCCCTCTAAGATATCTGGATATCTTCTACTAAGGCTTTGACCAAGACTTGCAGTACTCCCAGGTAAAGCACATGTGAATTTTCTGATGTTCTTGCATATGGTGCTGTGGGAGGAAGCCAGACAGAAGAGACTGAAGATTCATGCATTGGTTTGACAGCTGACTTCACACCCAGTCCTTTCACACCGTACTACTGTACAGTCCGGCCTCACAGACAATAAATAAATAAACATCGACAGTTGAGCCTTACAGATGCTAACACCTTGTTCACACTGTGTAGAAACAGTGACTTGTCAGCAGCATCTTCCCTTCTGTCTGTCTACGCTGGATATGTTCAGTTACCGTACAAGTGTTTGGGCAGCCTCCTTTTGGCAGAACTCGCTGCCAAATACGCACTCGTTGTACTTATGCAATCAAGCAGAAGTTGCTCGAGCATCGGTTCGTGTCTTTTGGTTGTCTTTGTCGTCGTAAGGGAAACTGGATGTTGCTTCTCTGCATACAGATGTCTATTGTCACACTGAATGTGGTCTTGAACATTTAATATCACCTCCCAGGAAGGGGGCTTCAGTATCTGCAATTATGCTTAAAAGTGACTGCAGAACAAACTCTCTTTTCCCTAACTACATTACCTCCTTATGAACCAAGAGACGCGATGAAGACAGGTGAGTCTGTACACCGTTACTGCACCTCAAGTGAGCTGTGGTTTTAATTTACCATTATGTATTAAAATCGTGTTTGTTTCCATGATATAACCCTCTCCTTGTTTGTAGGAGAGGTGAACTACAACCAGTGTCCTGTTTGCACTGTACTGACTGACTTAATTTTTACTGCTCTCCTTTCATTCCTGGCAGAAAGAGGATGTCTTTGTTGCTTCGGGTAAGTAGACTTCATCTTCAGCCATGTCATTTTTATTTTCTATTCTGGCCTTGTGTATACTTGCTGTCTGTTCTGGCAGGTAATTGAATCTACACGGTAATTAATAGTGGTCATTCTAATGCCTGTCCTGGTTTTAATGGACAGAGTTTTAGTCTCGATGTGTCAATGGTTATGATCCTCTTACAATAGTTATTAACTCAAATTAAATTAAGTACTTTAAAGTAAGTGTTTACAGTGGAAAAGTACATCTAGATAATTTGATGCACTTTGTTTTGAATGGGGCTGTTCATCGTGGTTTGGCTCAGGCCCCTCCGTTGCGGTTAAGTGTATATCTTGACCTACCTGCACAGAGCCCTGACATCATCCCACTGAGCAAATTTGTGATTTTATATTCATTTTAAAATGATATATAATGGCAGCTTATATGAGGAAGGATTTGGATAGATTCAAGTCTACACCCTAGTTACAGACAACACTTACATTTTTAAGTGTTGGTTCTTGGTATCGTGATGTCAGATGGGTGACAAATTGAAGGAAAACAAACACCATTTCCAAACCGAGGATTCTTTGTAAGGTGTTTGGCCACCATGTGCTGCCAAAACAGCGTCTATTCTCCTCCACATTGGTATTCCAAGTTTCTGGAACACCATTCTGACCAAAGATATTTCCTCATTGGTGGCTTGATGGCAGCAGTGGAGACCTGTGACCCCCTTGTGGTCCATGGACGGGGGCATTGGCATCGTAGAAGAGACCACTCAAACCTGAATGGAAATGTTTCATCATAGGATGATGGTGACCAGTCAGAACAACTTCGTACGGATTTGCAGTGACCCTTCCCTCTAAAGCCTTGTTCATTCTCTGGTGCGGACGTGTACACTGACACCTGTGGACATCGTGGACATGCAGTTGCTGCCATTATGCTATTACTCTCTTCTGCAGGAGTCTGAATGGAGGGCTGTGTCCATACATTTGTAGTAAGTTGTGGCTACAAGTTTCACACATGCACGCTACTGCCAAGCATGCATGCTATTGCCCTTGTAACATCGCTGCCACACAGACTGTTTACAAGGACACAAATTTTGGGCTACTCATGGACGTTTGCAGAGGGGTCTGTGTGGACTCAGACAAACTTGGGAAGATGATGAAATTTATATCCCATGGACCCCCGCATACTCACAGATGCAGAAAGTATGCCACTGGCTGAAGGGGACAAATAGACCCAAACTAACAAAGCCAAACAAAACAAAATGACCCCCTAGTGCAACTGAGCTACCGGATCCCCTCCCTGTAGGCCTGCACCGCTCTCTTGGTGTACGCCGCACATGCACTCACACACTTGGAGAGGATATGGTAAAGGATGACTCAAGTGACCATTTCACCTTTTTTGTTCACATTTCCATACAGCAGTGCCTGTGGTTTTGGCACCACTGAAGGATGTCCATTCATGTTTGAATCACTGGAGGAAGAGTTGCTCTTCTGGTTTTCCTTACATATCAGCCTAATGCACAAGTATCACTGTAATCAAATGCGTTCTCTCAACCACAATCTCCAACCCTATTTATTTACGTCTTTCCCAAAGATCCAAATGCATTTTAGTCCCTGTTCCTATTGAAACACTGGTCAGGTTGATCAGTTTTTGTGACTGGAGTTTCTATCATCTGGTCATCAGCACGAACCTTCTTTCAGAGTCATTTAGTCTTTTCCTCTTGCTGTCTTGATGCAAACACAGAATCTTTATTTTCACGCAGAGCGTGATTGGATGTTAATAGCTTAATTATACCATGCAGCACACCTGCACATTCATTGTGCTTCTCCACTTGTTTTCAGGTCTTTCCTCTAATTATGCATCTTTTAGGCAATTTGGGCCTAACATGACTGCTTTGACAGCTGTTTTGGGACCTAATCAGTGTGTTGTGTCACACCATCAGCTACAGTGTGGAGCTGTGTTTTTTTTCTAGACCAGAAAAAAAAACTAAACTTCCCTTAACCCCTCAGTTTTGACTCCTCAAGCACATTTGCTACTTGCAGCCACAAATCTCCTCCTCTCTGAGGCATGAGGTTTGAACTTAAGCTGTGAACAATCACACCTGCCTCTTCTGCAGTATATATGCAGCTTTTATAGTGTCGCTCTTCAAGCAACAGTGACAGCTGCAGCTACCCAGCGCTCACGCATTTCCCTCAAATATGTATTCTCCATTTCATAAACGTTCCCCTGTCATTCGAATGTGTGTCAGTTACACAAAATTAGGCAGCAGGGCACCTACCTGTGCCTATGTGACTGCGACGAAATCGACTGCAGTCACTGTAGCTGTATGTGTTTGAGCAGGCTCACGCTCAGTTATTCTGGTGCCGAGCATCAGTGAGTGCACCACTATTTAGCTGCAGCCGTACTGACTCTGACAAGAGGATGAAAGATGCGAGTAAACATCTCTGCAGCTCTGACCAGGGTGCTATGGGCGATTGTTAGCCACGAAGGAACGTGTTGTACAACCCTGTGCATCAAACAAGCTGATTGTTTGTTTGATCTCACGGTCTGTTTGGAGGAGGGTTCAAAACGAAAAAGGAAAAATGCCGTCATGGTGCTCACACACAGAAAATAAACAGCTACGAAAGCGTTCAAACAACTGTGCACGTTTGCTGACCTGCACCCTGGAGAGGCATGTTCCAGCTTTACTTGAAGAGGAATGTGCTATACGCCGAAATACAGAAAACAGGATTTCTGTTAGTTTAAACTGAGAAAACAGTCGTGGCATGCTGCTTCTTGAAGTGAACATGGGATATTTTTACACCATGGCTTGTTTTTTTTTCTGCCATTTGTATTATAAGTAACATCAGATATTAGATATTTTTTAATAAGATAGATGTTACAGGAAGACAAGGTCATATTCCCTCACCAGGCCGATTTTTTTTCTTATTGCAAAGTACGTGCTTATATACCATGAAATCATCTGGGTCAACAACTCTTTACCAGAGGACACTCCGACAGCAACTTCAAACAATCATGCGATACTGAAAATTACACCCAGTATTTGTTTCACAGAAAGCTTCCCTTCACTCCCGCTTTGATGTAAGTAGAGCAAAATGTGATGACTCAAATGTTCAAAGTTGAACTGCTGGAGGTCATACATGGGAATATGTGTGGTCGCTGCCAGATTTCTGATTTCGGTTTGCGAGCTGAAGATTTTAACCCTTTCAGCTGCAGCTACAGTCTTGGCTTATGGTCCCCTTTTACGCTTCTTGTCCTTCAACAAACATGCGACGTGAAATCATCCACTAAAAACACTTGAGGGAGGCGGTTGTAGGTGCAGATTTAGGCAGTTAATTTAGCAAACTCAATACTGTGTCGTTGACAAATGTCATGAAACTTTCCAGTCAAGTCTTTTTACGAAACGATGGTTTAAAATGTGCAGAGTTATAAAATGCTGATAAGGAGAAGGGAGCATTGGACCGGTGTTGCTGTGATTAGATCTGATCATAACGATCTGATCTGAACCCTCTTTGCTGTGTTTTCTGTTGCTAACTACAAGCTTTCGTTTTTTCAGGCCTTGCTGTCAGACGACAAACTATACCTGAATTTAAGGACATTTTACAGTATCTGGATTACCTGAAGCTTGACGAGCCTATCATCGGTGAATAACCTGATACAGACTTTAAAAAAAAAAAAACTGAATTCCATGTTAGCATGATCTCATTTAACTTTTTTTTCTGCTTTTATTTCTTAGGCTTAAGCTATTTGGATGAAATGCCCAGTACTGACCCACTAGGAGGCCCCAAATACATGTGTAGGCTGTGCAATCAGATGGCAGTCCTAGCCGAAATGGTCTGTCACGTGATCGGACGGAAACACAGACAGAAATATGTGGTAAAGCATTCTGATTGCTTTGAAAAAGAACTCCAGCGAAACTTTCTTTGAATGTCTGTTTGACTAGACTGAACATGCTTTACATTTTTGTTCCTGTAGGAAGTGAAGCGGCCAGACTTGGTGACCTGGGATAAACAAACACAGGGAGGAAAGATCATACGTACCAGAGCAGAAATAATAGAGAGACAGGATGGACGAGGACATCCAAGGGTGGGGGACACACACTAACAACTAGATGTGTGGAATATTCTCAGATAACATGTCTATTTGTATTTTTAATCATAAGAATTTTGAGAGTAACATACACCGTTTACTTTTTTGTATTTCAGTTAATGGCAAAAACGGGGATTGAAGGCAACATCTTAAGAGGTACAATCAGTTTTCTGTGTAAATGAGCAAATAAGCTATTCCCATCTCATTAACATGGATGTTATTAATGTGAGTGTCTAATAATTTGCACTGACCTATGTGAATACATTTAAAAACTCAATAAGACATTTGTAAAATTCCATACAAGTGTATGTTTTGCTGTAACACTGAAGAGGAAATTCAAGCTAACTCAGCTGTGTCTGTGTATCGATATACGTCAGTAAAGATCTTCAAGAAAGTTTGGTAACCCTTCCTCAAGATGTCAGCACATATTTCTTATTATTTAGCACATATTTACCTAAAAAGTGTTTAATTGTTGAGCTACAGTGGAAGGATAGAAAGGCGACAACTTTAGAGGTCTGGATTTTGTCCGCCAGCAACTGACTGTTGTTCTAAGACAGATCCCTAGCCTTTGAAATTGTGGTAAGCTTTTAATACATTTCATAGAGTAGCTAATTTAAAAAAAAAAAAAAAAAGAAGAAACAACTTGTATTTGATTTTTTTTTCCTATGGCCATTTTAAGCAGTATGTTTGTTCTTATGTCATAGTTCCCCCAAAGCTGAAGCAAATTAGGGACCAAAGAATCCCACAGACAGTCCAACAAGAAGTGCCACCACTCCTACCAGAACTCAAGGACTATCACCGAAGAAAGCACCTGATGGGTTACCAGAACACACCCACGTTCCAGCAAGATGAACCCAATGTGAACAGAGACAGACGCAGTGAATGGGAGGACACGCTCAGCCACGATCGCGTTGAAGAGGACCTGTGGACGGAAGATCGCAGTGAAAGTCGCATGTACAGAGAAGACTATGTGAAATCAGATTATCGTAGCCAGTATGAAGAGAATTATCCTCAAGAGCCACAGAGAAGTGCAGTGTTTGAGTCAGATGATGTTCCCAGGCAAGATTACAGGGAGAAGATGCCTCATGGACAGGCTTGGCATGGAGAGCATTACCCAGGAGAGGCTTCTCCTTATAAGAGACCCTACTCAGAAAGAGATCCTCTGAAGGACTTCTTCGCTGACGAAGTTAGGCGTAGCCAAGTTCGTTCTGCTGAGTACTCGCCTGCAGAGCAGCTGTACCCTCAAGGTGATGAACGACGGTGGTCTCTGGAGAGGGATTCTGGTAGACCCGACAGTATGAGCAGACCGGGATCCAGTGAACCAGAGGCCAAGAGGAGGAACTTTGCCACACCAATGGAGAGCGAACGATCGCGTGACCATTTGTTTAATATAATAAGAGATTATCATCACGAAATGAGAGAACCACACGAAGCGGAGGTAATCGACAACTCTGGGCCGAGCAGAACAGGAGCCCCTACCTCCCAGAGACGAGTTGAAGTCACTCGGACAATTTCTGACATCCCAGAGCCATTTAGGCGATTCCTGAAAGGGGCTGATATTGATGAGGGACAGGGCAAAAGAAAAAGAAAGAGTCGCTTCTCTGATGCCACTCCAGAAGAACTGGAAATGACAAAAGAGCTGTGAGTTTAAGACTGTGCATATGGTTTTCCAGGAAACTGGGTGGTGGATCCATTTAGAAATGTTAATTTATTTAAAACATGTTTGATTTCTGGTTTAAGGTTCAGCAATAAATATGGGCCATCCAATCCAAAGTATGCCGATAATGGAAGATCAGCTGGTGTGTCCTTGAGGCCTGAAATCAGCGGGACACAATATTCAGACTTCTACAGAGAATCACAGGTAGTTAACTGTAAAATTAGGCTGTTGTGATTAACCTGCCAATATTTTATGATCTCGACTAATCGACAGCATGCACTTACACTTGCAGTATGACTGCTGGAGCTGTGTCAGACATGTTTGTTTTTTTTCTTTTTTAAGAGTCCACATCATAGTGAGAACTACCACAGAGGAGGCTCTGAGTCAGAGGGTGTCTTTGATATGCTGGTAAGATCTTAAATTAGCATTTGCACATTTACAAAGCAGCGCATATCATGTCTTTGTCCTGCAGTCATTCACTAAAAGGGATCTGACTGTGTTTTTTTCATCATTTTCCCCGGTTAGAAAAACATTGAAATTGAGAATGCAGAAGAGGCTGACTTCCTGAAGAGCAAACTTTGCAACCTTTTGAAAGAATTCAAAAGCAAAAAATCTGAGAAAGCTGTGGTATGTTCACGTTGCACACGCCACGTCTTACTCTCACGGATAATTACAAACACTGGCCTATTTGTTTTCCTCACTTCAAAGCAGTAGAAATAAATGAAGCATGTGTTTTTGTTTTTGTAGCAAAATAGCCAAAGCCGAACAGGCCTCTCTAGGAATTATAGTGAGCTAAACCTGGAGCCACAGCTGCATCAGCGACACCCGTATGAGAGATCGCTGAAAGAAGATTCTGACCACAGACCATCACAAAACCTCACTTTCAGCGATGATCCCAGACGAGGCTGGACGCAGCGTGAGCATGTATCGGAGGAGCTGCACCAAGACTACCACCATTCTGTACGCGAGGAACCCAGACAGCCAAACAGAGGCCGTTATGAAGGTACAATGGATCACAATGCACTTTGTTTAAACGCACATACATGGTTTTTACAGCACATCGGGCATTAAAGGGTTTGTTCGAACATATAGTGGCCTACAAAAAAGTATTTAGACACTAAAAACCAAAAGATTAAGCAAACACATGTTTTAGGTTTGAATAAAATGAAATGCAGTTCAAAATGAAGATTTTTGTGGCTTTGCTTAACAGCCCTGGTTTCTTTACCAGCTGTGGTGAAAGAATGCTTCATGTTGCAGCCGGCAAAGCTTGCAGTTCATCCACAATAGTGCAGTGACAAGCTTGCATTTTTGTTTCCATGGCATCCCTTAGGTGCTGAATAGGATTTAGGTCAGGGCTCTGGGAGGGTCATTGTAAGACTTTGATTTTCTTCTGGGCAAAATATTCTATCAGCAGGCGGCTGCTGTGCTTTAGATCATTATCCCGCTGAAGGATCCACTTCTGCCACTTGAGTCATTTGTGCTTGATTTCTTCAAGTTTTTATTCAAAGTCCCTCTGTACACATCAGAGTTTTTGATTCCATTCATGAATACAAGTTTGAAACTGGAAGAGAAACAAGCCCAGACTGTGATGGTCCCACCTCCATGCTTTACAGTTTATCCGTCCTCCAGCTCTCTCCACACAATCTTTCTACCAGCATATTTTTTGCACATTTATTCCTCGCTGTTTTATGGATGTTAGGGTTTCTGCCACTTCATTCTCTCTCTGTATTCCTAATGACTGATACATTGATTTCCAAGGGGCCGGGAGCTACGTTGTACTCAGTAATTCTTGTTTATCTGTTAAGCAACCCTTTCATGCTGTTTCCTGACGGTTGTTCTTCATTTCCACTAACTGTGGAGGAGGGAGTTTTAGCTTTTCATACAAAAACATTGCAAACAAAATATGCTCTGACCTCACTTCACTTGACCATTTTTGTAGTGCTGAATGTGTTTTTGTGTGAAAGAACTACCAGTTTATCAAACATTTGTGAGAAAACCTTATGAGCCTCGACGTTTGGATCAGAGTTGACAAAATATTCTTCATTTTAAGCATTGTATGGATGAACTGTTCACATGTTCAACTCTTCATCTCATATGTTTGTATCATGTTCTATATGTTCTGGGGCAAAGCTCTGTAAACTAAAAATTGATGAATATACTGGTGAGAAATATCCTACATATTCTAGTTTCTCATGTCAAAGTAAGTTTGCGTTTTTCACTTTCCTTTATTAAAAATCTTTTTCTGTTGTCTTTCTCATAGATGTTTTTGGGACATCACACAATACTCATTTAGATGAGCCAACACGTTATCCTGACAGATTTCAAGAACCCATGCGCCCTCGTGACTACCAACCTGCTGTTAAAGAGTTTTTCGACTCTGACCCCTCTGCATCTCCCCTCCACATGGAACAAGGATCCAGGATGCTCAGGGCCTCCCGGTACTCGACCAAAATGGACAAAATCACCTCCACCCTCCTGGAGCTTGTGGCGAGGAAATAATTATCATCATCGTCATCTTTTGTGGAATGGCTTTGTAAACTAAAAATTGATACTTCTGATAGAACATGTTGGTTGGAAAATATGATTTTCCTTTTTTGAAATCTTTTTGTTATAGGTTGTTTACTTTTTGTTAAGTCATTAAAATGGCAAAGTTTGAGTGTCTATGTAAACATTAAAACATTTGTCTACTGCAGCTGTCATTTTTTTCAATTCTTTAAACTACTACAGCAGGAAAAGTAATATTGGTATTATTTTCTCTATGATTTAACTGGGCAGCACATTTATTTATTCATTTCGTGAGCCAAACTGCTATTTTCGACCATTTACTGCAAACATTTATTAACAGTATATTCCAGTGTGAAAATGGAAGCACTGACAAGTTAAATAATGTTTATATCACACAACTGAGTCAAGTTAACTTTCACCTATAAATCCGCATTAATATTTTATTAATTCACTTATATACTACCTACACCTAGAAATACATTTTAGGATAATAAAAAAGGTACTCATAACGCACGCATATCGTATTTATTTTAAACATAAAGAGAACGGTCACAGACTGACGCCGTTCCTCAGGAAACGTATCATCGACGTCATTACGTACGTGCGTTTGACTCTTTCCGGTTCGAATAGCAGCCATCTTGTTTCCCTTGCTAGCTAAATAAAATAAATAATACGCTGAGCCGGACTTCACTTGGAACCCGTAAAAGAAAGTGAGTAAGAGATTAAAATTCATTCATGTGTAGAATATTTACGCGAAAAGGTGGCCGTGCCTGGTGGAAGTAGGGGCAATTACTTCGCTTCTTTTCATTTGCTGTTCTTGACCAATAGACGATTGTTTTGGAAGATGAACATAGGCGCCATTTCCCTCCCCGCTCTCTGAGGCGCTTATTGGTGGCCCGCTGAAAGGATCACGGGCGGTCAGGAAACTGGTATTTTGTGTCCACCATTTTGGTTCTAGTCTTAGTGATTGTCAGACGGACTGGCTATTTCTGGTAGACCCCGAATGGCGTCAGTTGCAGAACGAACTTAGCCCTAAAAACCTTGATTGGTGGAATCTAGTCCGAGGTTTGATTGGTCTGAAGGACAGATCCAAACGTTGTCTTTATTGGTTAGACTGTTTCTTCCTAGCTTAGGAAAGCTTTGCAAACTTTCATATGATGACAGGACTCGTTGTCAGTTGTTGATTATGATCACACATACTGCGGATAGTCGCCGGCGCTGTACAACCATCAGCAGTGTGCATCTCCAACAAGCTAACATTAAACCTCCCTAACGATAGCACGAAGTCCCGGTTAACACTGACCGTTAGCTACTACTACTAAATATCTGTATATAAGGCTGTTGTCCTAAATGTCGGACAGCGGCTATGTCAGAGTTAATCACTTAAATGCATTGCAATGGTCTGGTGTATTTAACGAAGTTATATAATTGATAATTACATCCTGACTTCTTGTCTGCTAGCCTGGGATGTAGCATTGGCGGTGGTGTCTCCCGCTAGCCACTTTGTTCAACCTAACTAGCATGTAATGTATAATTTAGCGACCTAGTTAAAGTGCAACACCTTAGTAAAGGCTAAGTCATTAAAGAGCAAAATTGCCTTCCTGCCAGTACAGTGCAGCTTATATATATATATGTAAACATTAATTTGTCTCTTTTTATTACTTAGGTCAGTGAAAGCAACGTTTCTTGTTAATCATGAAACTTAATCTTCATGTCTCACAATGATTAATAATAGTTTAAATTTCAACCACAATATCTAAACAGAACAAAATGCCCCAACAGGAATTTGAACTTGTGTTAAGCAACAAAATAAATGCTTTTAGCCCAACAGAATTTCACTTCACTGCACATTACTTTGTATAAAAACAATATAATCCTTTTGCTTTCAACTTTCAACTGGATTTCCTATTCTTTGTTATTAGTGCAGACACATATGGTTTCGGTTTTAGTTTTGCAGCCCTTCTTACAGCTTAGTTTACTTTCTTCTCTAGGCATACGAATGGCCTTTTCTATTTCTGTTACATTCTGTGGATGTCTAATCTTACTTTTTGTTTAAAATGACTGTGACAGGAAGCTTCTTCAGGAGTTAAATATGACTAAAGTGTGCTTGTCAGTCAGCTAACCACTTAGTTTTGCAGGTGTTCATGTGTTTTTTTGGTTGTGGGTGAATGCATGGCTTGGCCTGGCTACCCTGAGGGTGCTGTGTGTTTATGAAACCCAACGTCTGGTTGGTGCATGTTTATCTCTAAACAGCGTCAGTGAGAGCAAACATGTCCCTGCTACGGGCAGTACAGGTCATGGGAAGGTCTTATTTCTATGGTGACCTTGCCAGGTGTCATTACTGAAGCATTTTGGGTAGCCAGAGTGCACCTACTGAGAGAACAGCTCTGGCATGGCAGTCATGGTGGCGAGATTAATCTTTGTGCAGCTCTACTCTAATCATTAACTGGATGTCTGTAGTACCTGTTCTAGTCCCCATGCTCCTCACAAAAATAGAAAAGGGAACATTTAGCTTTGTTTCTCTTGAGTCTATCTTGTTCTCTCACCCTCCCTCCACTTGTCCTACCCCTCCCATCCTGTAACAACTCTCCTCTCTGTCCTTCTCCATCCTTCCGGTTCCCCTCCCCCCATAGGTTTTTCATTGATGGGGCAGGTTTGCTCTCTTTCCCTCTCTCTTAAGCTTGTTGTATTCCTCACTACAGTAGGGATTTGCAGTCATATGCAGCATAAGCTACATGCGACACCACCGTTTGGTTGCTTGCCGACACTTTACTGTCGAAGCTATACGTGCTTTAACCAGTTTACATGTTCTATGTGTAGTTACTAATGCTGTCAGTTGTGCATTAAACATCATCAGTTGTGAACAAGAGTAGCAGTGACGTTCTTTGGTGGTAAAAGTAGTGGTTTCTGTGTATAAAGTATGCACATTAAAGCATCGGTGAGCTAACAAGAAGGGCATTGTGTGACATTGCTGACGTGTTTTTTTGATGACGTTTTAATTTTGGAAGTTGCTGTGAGCGTCGTTTTTAGGGTCAAGACAACCATGTCTTTGTTTACAGACTTCCACCCGTATCTTTTAGCTCTTGTTTATCCACAAATAGGACGAGAATGAGATGCACTTTTTTCAGCCCTTCTTCCACAACTGCTATCCAGTCAGCTGATTCATCTTTATTTTGTACAAAGGCTCTGCAATGATCTGATTTGCAGTGATTAGTTTTTGTGTAAATTTGATTGACACCCTAATTAAGGTTTCATGGGATTAATGTTGCATTTGCAGTAAGTTGCATATCTAACTGTCCTGATGAGTCACAGATTTGTTGGATCCAGTGTAATTCAGCTAATTTATATTCCGAACGAATAATGAGTGACCATGCATGTAGACAAATTAGTTCTTCTGTTAGCATAATATTAACAGTGCAATGAATCTCATTATAACAAGTAGGCTGGTTAGAGGCTAGATGTTTGCAGTGTGTACCTGTGACTGTGAGCAAGGATAAATGAGAAAGCAAGGACAAAATGTGCATGTGTGTGGATGTGCATGAAAGACTGTGCACACGTATGAGACAGGGAGTCTGCCTAGTATGCTTTTGTACTTTAAATCATGTGGATGCAACATGCGGCATCCATTCTGGCACTCGTGTTAGCCAGTGAGGGCCGGCATGGCTGCCTGCATCACTGCGCTGTCAGCCTGTCGCTGCAGAGTGGAGGCGGGGCAGAGGGAGACATTTAGTTTGACATTGTAAATAAGCAGAGACCAGTTGTCAGAGAGCAGCTCGTGGAACCTTTCTCATCCGTCCAGCAGCAGGAGAGGCAGGGACCACTTGAGGACAAACAATGCCGAGGCAAGCCGCCACTAGCACACCCTCACACACTCCCTGAAGAGCTTTCCACAACTTTATGTGCTCTTTTTCACCTATTCTCATCTCTATTCTCTCTTCCTCTTTTCTTTTCCCTGACCCCTATCCTGCAGCTCAAGGTAACTTAGAGCAGGAAGTTGGCTGTCGGTAAAAGGGGGTTGGGCGGAGGAAAGAGGAGGAGCAGGAGACGTGTCAGAGCTGATGGGTGTGCGTAGCGTCCAATGGCATAGCGGGACTTTGTGTTCTCATTGGCTGCAAGTGTCAGAGCGAGGTGGGAGCCGGGTGTGAGGCGGGGTTTGAGTATCATGTAGCATGCTAGATTGATTACTCTTGAATGTTAAAGGGGAAGGAGGCTAGAGATTTTTGTCTGTGAGTCGGGAGTGCCGCTGTACTGTTTGCCTGCTGTTGCGCTGTTGCCTGCTGCTGTGCTGGTCTTCTATTCCTTCTCACCCGCTTCTCTGCATCAGGCCAGGGGTCAGCTCAAAGACAAACATATGGGTCACCGGCTAAAGAGAGGGACAAGGGTTAGAGAGTGAAAAGGCAGAAAGGAAGAAGGTCAGCGAGTTGAGGGGACTTGGTAAGAAGAGAAATAGGAGAGTCAGAGCTGTACGTCTAGGTAGGAGGAGGACGTTGGGGGGCTGTTGAAGGAGACGGGGCAATGTGTAAAGGGAGAGTGGGAGAGAGAAGGGGGGAGGGGTAGAAGAAGGGGGGGCTTGCTCTTCGCTGTGTGTTCAGGCTTAGAGCCTTTTTAAAGCCGTCCACTGGAGCCAGAGTGCCTTTTGTCTGTTGATACGATCAGTGGACGGTGCACAGGAGAGTTTTTCTGTCAACCTCTGTGCTCGCTGCTGCTGCTGCTCTCAAGGAGACTTGGACAGGGCTATCTGTTTCCCTCTATTCTGCTGTGCTCCAACAGGGCAGACCGTTCACCATGAAGGGCACAGGGGTAAGTGTGACAGCTGATAACACACACATAGAGAGAAGACCTGTCAAGTTAAGTTGCTTCGAGCCTCTGAATAAATTGTTCATCTCTGTTCACTTTCGGATGTTTCTCTCTCCATCCTGCTCTGCAGCGATGAGACAGTGTCTGTCCTTTACAGCCGTCCTCAGTCCCCCTCCCTTTCCTGTCCTGTAGTACTCTCCTTGGGAGATCGGTGTTGTGCGTTTTGTGTGTGTATCTCTCATCCACGTCCTTCACTTGTCACTTAAGTGCAGTATAGATGGTTTAACCGAATAGTCTGGGGTAAAAAAAAATAAAATTCTAAACTCGGGATGTTTTATGTGCTTATTGCTTTTTT